TCCGCACCTGCCCAGGCATAACGCTTGTGGCTGAGGCATTAGGACTGGTCAGAGGACCACTAGCTCCCGCCATCAACATGATGGCTGGCTCCGTCTCTGCCCAAGCCTAATGACCAAGGCGTTAGGCCTGGGCAGGGGACCTCAAGCTCCCTGCCATCAACGCAATCGCTGGCTCTGCCCCTGCCCTCGGTTCAGAGGTGTTAGGCCTCAGCAGGGGATCCCCAGCTCCGTTGCTTGGCGCCTATGTATGCAAATTAACCGCCATCTTTCTTGGCAGTTAATTTGCATATCACCCTGATTGGCCAATGGGAAGTGTACTGAAGGTATGGTCAATTACCCTTTTTGTCTTTTATTAGATAGGATTCTTCATTCCTCTAAAGGAACCATTTAATTTTTCAGCTTCCTAGAATGTGTACTAACCCATGCCTTGCTTCCTTGGATGTGTAATAACCCATGCCTTCATTGTTGAGCATAGAGCATAGAGCTCTTAGCTGCTAAGATGAATTACCATTGTTGCCACGTATTACCCTCATTGAGACCAGGCACCAAATAGGTACACAAGCAATGCACATTTTTGATATATCAGCTGATACATTTGCAACCTGTTTATAGGATGAGTGATTTGATACATCGAAGAATGAAGACGATTTGGTTCTGGCATGATGTTTTGTACCTTTTCTTTAAAGAAGGATGGGAGCACAAAAGGAAACTAAATATCTTACATAATTTTACCAACAATGTAAGTCCTCACTTTTTTTTTTATTGTGATCAAACATACCTAACATAAATTTATCATAATAGCAATTTTAAGTGTACCATTCAGTGGCATTAGGGGAATTAACAATGTTGTGCAACCTCTACCACTATCACTGTCTAGAAGTTTTATAAGTGCATGACTCCGTGTTTGTTCACATACCCAGTCATTAATGTTCCTTACTGGGGGAGGTTAATCTACTGGGGGAGGTTGTCTATAAATAAATAATTACAAAATTGCCCCTGCTACCCGTGATCACTAACACCGCCCTTGCCCAGACCTAATGCCTCTGGCCAAGGTGTTAGGCCTGTGCAATGGTAGTTTATTAACAAACTGGATGCTATGCTAAGATAATAAAGACACAGGGATCTGTGTTATAAGTATCTTCTGAAAAATGTTTGGATTAGGCAATGGTTTTCCAAGACAAAGGGCATTTATAGCAGTATCTTAAACTGGAAAAGATAAAAATTAACTAGATATTACAGTGGGGCCTTGACTTATGAGTTTAATTCGTTCCGAGACCGAGCTCATTAAGGAGCTCGTTAACTCAAATTACTCTGTTAACTCAAAGCAAAACATTGGCCGAGAGACAGCTAGTATCTCAAAAAACTCGTTAGTCGGGACACTCGTAAGTCAAGGCCCCACTGTACTATTTAATTTTTAATGATAAGGAAATAGTAATGTTCTGGATATAGTCTGTCTTTGTGTTAAAAGTATGTTTATTAAAGGCAAACTTTAATTTAAAACATGCATTATAATTTAAATGTACAAATAAAAGTGCTGAAGTAATTATATTTATCCTTTACTATAAATTATAGTTTAAAATATGATGGCATTGCTTCCTGACAATGAGGTGCTGCCTCTACAAACAGATCAAGTGGTTAGAGTCCCTAGAAGTTAGATGAATGAGATATTGGAGTGAGCTGCCCTCAGTGGAGTATAGCATAATTGCCTGGCAATAGGTGAACGGTGAACAGTTTGTATTTTATGGGTATAATTACATTTGTCTTCAAATTTCATGCATTAATATCAGTATCAATAATGAATGAATTCCAAATGGGATGGATAATATCTAAAGTTGCATACTAAGTGCCAGGCACTAGGGGTTCCACCAAGAATCAAAGAGAGGACATGGTGCTTGTCTTTACGGAACTTGGGATCTGCTCATTCAAAGCAGAAGCAGGTTTGGACAACTGCCTGAAAGGAGGAGAAAGTTGAAATGTGTAACCAAATTAAGCTCATGGGCTTTCATTCTTTAATTCATTCAACACATACCTGATGAACATTTTTAAAATGCCACAGTGTTCTAAGGTTGGAAGTATCCTATCTAATAAAAGAGAAACATGGTAATTGGCATACGACCGCTCCCCTTCCCATTGGCTAATCAGGGCGATATGCAAATTAACTGCCAGCCAAGATGGAGGCCGGCAGCCAGGCGCTTGAAACTAACATGAGGCTTGCTTGCTTCA